TGTGGGGAGATAGGGGATTTGTTTCTTAATGAGTACAGAGTTTCTATTTGGGCTAATGAAAAAGTTTTGTAAATAGTGATGATGATGGCACACCACTAGAAATGTAGTCAAAGGCCATGAATTGTATGCTTAAAAATAGTTAAAATGGCAAAGTTTTGGTTATATATGTTTTACCAAAATGTAAACAAAAATTTAAAAGAGATACAGTACAGAAGGTACAGTAGTCAGTTGCCTTTGAGGGGCCAAAGGAGTACCAGCTGACATACTTTTAGCTCTCGGTGGAAATAAGTAATGATATTCAAATAACATTACTTTATCACTATCATTATAATTATTAACTTCTTACCTGACTTCAGAGCTCATTACTCTTAACGTTATGATGCGATACATACAATAGGTTCTTGCTCATGTCACTGTGAGGGGTCCTAACCATGTCTGAATCATGGAAAAGATGCAGCAAATGATAGCAAATTCTTTATACAAAAGAGCAGGGACATAGATTAAGGTAGAAAAATCTGAGGTTTTATGTCCTGCCTAGTGAGGTATTAATAAAGCTGAGTAAGCAACTCACCTCTATCCACTAATGCTGCCAGCTTCTTGTTTTTCTACACATGATTACCTCCATGAAATTCTCCTCACTTTTGTATTGATTCAGTCCCCTGCATGGTTTCTAACTCCTTTCTGTTACTTTCTCAAGGTGGGGGCGGGGGGTGGTGGAGAAAATCAATTCAGAGTGGCTGGAAGACATTCAGCTTTATCTAAAAGTGATCGATGGCAATAAATTTCATTTTTGTTATTCTCTTGTTCCAAGAGGCTGAGCTTCAAGAAAGCTTTGCAGAAAACAAACAGATGGTGAAGAGAAACATAAGGTAATAGTTCCCTAAGGGGGAGGATGCGCTCAGGAGAGCTTTGTGGATCAGTCAAAGGCACGTTCAGAATGCAACTGGGGAAAATAAACTATGCATGAACAAGGAAAAAGATTAACAAAGAAGCTGAGGAACGTAGACTTCTGACCACTGTTCATGTAATATGCATATTTCAAAGGTGAGAATCAGTCATGAATGTTCAATAAAAACAATCTTGTTTGTTAAGTGTTCGTTGGATGGCCTGGTAACTGCCTTGTAATCTTAGAAGATGGGTGCTGGGATTATCCTTTTTATATTAGATAGGAAGATATTTTAGAGGAGAAGATTAGAAACATGTTGTATTTTGAATTTCTCATTTTTCCTTCTTTCATACATGCCAAGAAATGTACACTTTGCCATTAGATGATGAATCCTTTTAATTTTATATCATATGATGAAAAAAGTGATACATTTAGGTATTGAAATAAAATTCCTTAGTTTTCAATCCAAAGAGGAGAAAATAACCATCTTGGGCAAGTTAGAGAATTTCTCACTGGAAAATTAGGTGTCATATATGTCATGTGATACCTTTTTGATTTAAACCCTTCACTGGTACCAGGGCTAGCTCTGTCTACCACTGCTCATGAGCTGGACAGCATCAGAGAATGTTCCCTTCTGCAACGTGGCATCACAGAACCTTGTTGTGTATTCAGAAATACAGATTTCTTTTTGTACATGTTACTAAGTCAGACCCTGGAAAGTGTACCAGCTGAAATTATTAGGGTTGAGTATAATTTACTCTAAGATGGATAGGCTTTGCTTACTTCAGAGCCCTGTGAACAGGCACAGATGCCTGTGAACAAGGTATGGTTTGCTCTTCGGTGCCTTTGAAGGGTGAGAAACTTTCCTGAGGGAGAGACTGTATATTGAGCCTCCTGGGTGCTGTGTGTGTGAGCATTAGTGTATTTGGCAATATCCTGGCCAATTGCTACCTGTAAAATATTCCTAAAGCATATAGGAACCATATGCTCACATTTATTGAGCTCTTATGAGTACCAGGCACTGTTTTAGGCACTTTTACTTTATATTCCATTTTGTCCTCACAACTAAACTATGAGGTTACTATTACTATCCTCTTTCTACTAATGAGGAAACTGGGGCATGGACCAGGAGTGGGGCTTAGAAAATAATTTTGTGCATTATCTTTGAGTACACGAGGAATTTATTTAATTTTTTTATTTTGAGAGAGAGAAAGAGCACGTGCACTTGGGGGGATGGGGTGGAGGAGGGGCAGAGGGAGAGGAAGAATCTTAAGCAGGCTCCATGCTCAGCATGGAGTCAGAAGCAGGGCTCAATCTCAGGACCTTGAGATCACGACCTGAGCCAAAACCAAGAGTCTGACACTTAACCAAATGAGCCACCCACAGGGAGTTTATTTTTAAAGTATGCTTGTAACATACAGAAATTAATGTCTTCTCAAACATTCAATCACTTCAAAAGAATCAAATTTGCAAAGAATCATAGGAAGCAATTAGCATGACCTTAAAAGTCATTTTCATTATGGTAAAGGGGCCACATGCAAACATATTTGGAAATAATTCAACTCATTCCATAGCTATATTCTTTCCTGCTTTCCTTTTTCCAGTCTGACTTCACTTTCATATTTTTGATTACATACTAATTATGCTGTGGGAATTTCAGGCCATAACATGGAATAATATCCAATTTTCCACCAAGAGAAGAAAAAATGTTACTAATTGCTAAATAGTCACATTTGCTTCTTACAAAATTATTCAATAATGAATTCAAGCCAAATACTTTGAAGAAAAAAAAAAAGAGGTAGAAAGTTTTCACTTGAATAATATTTTAGTAGTGGTATACATATCTTTTAGGCAGTATAAGCCAGTGTGCTACCCCTCCCTCATCCACTGCATGCTCCCACAGGAGGAAGGGGACAGGCATATGTCACCAGAACAAATTCTGAAGACCAGACTGAAGAGATGGAGCAGACATGGCTTGGGTGGTTACTACAAGTGGCACTTTCAATTCATCTCTCCATCTCTGTGGTAGAACATTAGTTTGTGGGCTCCCAGTAAACCATGCCTCCTGGTATTCACATCCTATGTAGTTCTCTATAGGCTTAAATATGTATCGAGTTTGGGCCAACAGGACAGTACCAAGTGTGAGATTTGACAAGCGCTTGCACACTGGGTCTTGAATTATTGGTTCATTCCATTATTCTTTTTTGTTTTTGTTTTTGAGAGAGAGCTCTATGCTCAGAGTGGAGCCTGACCTGGGGCTCAATCTCACGACCCTGAGATCATGACGTGAGCCAAAATCAAGTGTCAGACACTAAACTGACTGAGCCACCCAGGTGCCCTGGTACATTCCTTTCTGAAACCCAACCACGATGTTGAGGAAGCCCAAGAAGTCACATGGAGACAACAAAAATGGGGAGGAAAACTGAGACCTCTGGTTGAAAGCTACAGCTGAACTCCTTTGGCCTGAACCAACTGCCACCTATATGAGTGAGGTCATTTGGGCCTTCCAGCCATTGCCAAACTGCTGTCAACATTGCATTCTGCAGAATAACCAGTTAACCCATAGAACCACGAGAAATACCAAATTATTAGTTTTTTAAGCCAGTGAGTTTTGGGGTGGTTTGTTATAAGTCAGTAGATAACTTAAGTAAGCCCTCTGCACTCTGTTAGTATAGACCATTGCTAATTCCCTTCCAGATTACTGTAATAACATTGGAAAGAAACTCCTTATGCCCAACCCACTCCAATGTATACTCCAAACTCTAACCAGAAGAATCCTTCCAAAAACCATTAATGGCTCCCCAGAGCCTTTAAGATAGTCTAGCCTATAACATAGAACATGAAGATGAGTATGATTCTTACTTATCTAGTTTAGTCTATCACTTCACTCCAGCTCTCACACTTTATGTCCAGTCATAGTGAACTGTGGGCCCTGCCCTAGCATGGGTCAGGTTCTCTAGTACTATCCTCTCCACTTCCACCTGACTATGCCAAATCCCCTCTGCACTTCAGGATCTCCCCAGGATCCTTCAGCACTTTGCTTACCTCCATCAAAGCACTTACCTACCATACTGTGATTGTCTCCTTTCTTATTTCTCTCCTTGTTAGACTGTAGACTATTTGAGGATATGGAATAACTATTTGCTGTGGTCTGAATGTTTGTGTCATCCCAATATTCTTATGCTGAAATATTAATGCCCAACATGATGTTATTAAGAGGTGGGGCCTTTGGGCTCTGCCTCATGAATCAGATTAGTGCCCTTACAAAGAGAACCCAGAAAGCTTCCCAGGCCCCCTTCCATCATGTGCAGACACAGCAAGAAGACATTGGCTGTCAACAAGGAAGAGGGTCTACAATATAATGTAACCATACAAACGCCTTGATCTCAGGCTTCCAGCCTCCAGAACTGTGAGAAATAAATTTCTGTTGTTTATAAGCTACCCAGTCTCTGGTGTTTTGTTACAGTAGCCCAAACAGACTAGGAAAATATTTCACTTCTGTATCCAGCACTGGCTACAGAGGTTGGCACATTGTAGATGCTCAGGATGTGTTTGCTCAGTGGATAATATTTACTCCACTCTGCCATCATTTCAAGGTGACACTTGTTTATTTCTCTCAGGTTTATCCTCATTCCACCATCAGGGATAGATGGGGAAGCCACTGCTTGCAGAAGACTGATTTGATCAAGGTCACATCTTATATTCTAGAATAATGTCAAACCAGTTCCAGAAGTTCAGGCCAAGCCAAATTTCAAAGAGGAAAGCCAAGACCAGAAGGTGGGACTTAGCCAGAGACAAAAGTTTAGAGCTTGACTAACTCCTGCACACGCTACTACACAGGACTCATTTCATATTTGATTTTCTCTGAGATCTCCATGTTATAGTACTCAGTTTGCTTAGCATTGTATGGTAATTGTCTATCTGCCTTTATTCCTCGTTAGACTTGGGTTCCTTGAACGAAAGAGTTATATCATGTCTCAGGTCTCTAGCATAACACAGGCACATAATGGATGCTCAAGAAGTATTTGTCATATGAATGAATGAGTGACCCAGAGAATGAGACCCAGTGAAAGCAGGTTGAGATCAAATGGGGTTAGGGAGGGAGTGGAGTTACCTTGAACACAGGTTGATATTTGCAGCTTTCTTTTATGGTTCATTGCATATCAGCCCAGCTCGATGGCCAAAGTTGAGATGGACAGTTCATTCCTGGTTTGGGACCTCCCTGGTTCTCCTAGTGGAATTTCCTGATGTGATCTTGTGATTTCCAAATTCATTTTAGCTCTAGAATTATTATGGTAAAGGTCCATATGTAAAGTGGGTGAAAGAGTTCTTCTGGTTGAAGTAGTTGATGGGACCCAGATTCCCACACATTGGCCCCTTCTAACTCACTTCTTTCTCCCACCACCACTTCAGCAGCCCCCAAAGGTGCTTCACAGAAGCCAAGTTTGAGAACCACTATTCTAAAGCATTCTTAAGATGTGAGTCAAGTTGCCATGACTGCTCTTCTGGCCATTTTTTCCCGAATGGCAGCAAACTTTGGGGGTGACAGTGGGCATACAGCACACAGAGTGTAGTCCAATGCCTTCTCTGAGCAGCTTATATAACATTATCCACCTCATCCCCACCCTTGTCTCATTTTATGTCCTCTAGCCCACTTTTCTCTCCAGCCATCACTGTGACTACTAGCTTCACACAAGTATAGACCAACAGCCTCTCCCCAGCTCTGCTGCATAGCTCTTGTTTTTGCCCTTAGGCTTCTTTCCTGTTTCTGCCTATATGAGCCCACTTAGCCACCCTGGCATATGCTCAAACCTGGAACCAAATGTGACAGTCCTTAACCTATGGGGTACAGGAGCTATGGATAAATACTGCCATCTCCTGTGATTTGGGTGGACAATTGTAAGGCACATTCAATAAATTTCCTCAGAAGATCCCCATGAGGACTGAGTCCCAGTTGACTGCAGCAGTGATGCACTCTAAGATGGGCTTTTCCTCCTTTACTGCTTCATTCTTCCCAGTTGCCTCAAACCTGTACCTTGGGATCTACCCAAGATAAACTACCTACACTTAAACCATTGTTTTGGGAGTCAACCAAGTTAAGACACCTCCTTAGCTGCTTTATTTTTCTTCTTGGCACTTATCATCCCTGATGTATTTTACATTTATTTATTTGTCTACCTCCTCTAAAATAGAAACTGCACAAGAGCCAAGATCATTTCTTTCAATAGTATATTACTAATGATTTGAATAATGCCTTAGTACCTAGTAGGTACCCAATAAATATTTTTTTTAATTAATCCATTAAGGGGTGCCTGGGTTGGCTCAGTCAGTTAAGCATCCACCTCTGGCTCAGGTCATGATCCCAGGGTCCTGGGATCAAGTCCCACATCTGGCTCCCTGCTCAGCTGGGATCCTGCTTCTCCCTCTCCCTCTGCCATTCCTCCACTTGTGCTCTCTGGCTCTCGCTATCCTCTGTCAAATAAATAAATAAAAGGTTTAAAAAATTAATTAATTAAACTATTGAGTCTTTGGCTATATTTTTGATTCCCTGGTTGCCAGGATGGGTGTGAATCAGACAAGTTCATCAGTAGACACATATACTTTGGTGGGGGATTGGAGTTCAGTGTGGATACGATACAAAGCTAGGCAGGTTTCAACCCTACCACCAGGATATATGATCTTTTGTAGACTGGAAGGCCCTTCCCACAGCAGGTAGCAGTAGACCAAGTAACCATGTACATCAGAGTTCAGACACAACTGCCTCACCTTATATTATGCCCAATTCAACTGGTATCACAAGACTGGATACTTAGGGTCAGCTATACTAAACCAAATTTGAGACAGTGGGGAGGAATACCTTGTAGCAGTAGGAAGGCATGGCACATACCAAGTTAGGCTTCCAGCTTCTTTTGTTGAAGGAGAAACAGGGCAGAGCTCACCATGACCATATTGGGGTTGGTTTCCAAAAGCATGAGGTAGAAACAAGGATTACTCTCCTGACAATGGGTGATACCAGAGAGCCAGATTAGTTTAGAATAATAATAGAAACTTTAGACCTGACTGCCAAGACTAGGGATGAGCTCCAAATCAGGAAGGCCAAAAAGTGAAGAACTGACAGGATACAACCATGTAAAAACACATCAGAATCAAACAGGTGATAGGAAACCATCAATAAAACAAAAAAACAACCTACTGAATGGGAGAAGATATTTGCAAATAATATGTCTTATAAAGGGTTAATATCTAAAATATATAAAGAACTTATATAACCAAACCAAAACCAAACCAACACCAAAATATAAGCAATACCAAAAGAAGTCCAATTAAAAATGGACAGAAGACAAGAACATTTTTCCAAAGAAGACATACAACAACTCAACAGATACTTGAAAAAATTCTCAACATCCCTAATCATCAGGGAAATGCAAATAAAAACTACTTATACTAAGGTGACAAAGATAAGAAATAAGTGTTGGTGAGAATGTGGAGAGAAAGGAATCCTCATGTACTGGTGGTGAGAAAGTAAATTGGTGAAGCCACTGTGGAGAAACAGTATGGAATTTCCTTTAAAAAATTAAAAATAGAAATATCACATAATCCAGTAATCACACTACTGGGTATTTACCCAAATGAAATGAAAACACTAATTCAAAAAGATACATGCACCCCTATGTTTATCCCAGCATTATTTACAATAGCCAAAATATGAAAGCAACACAAGTGTCCATCCGCAGATGAATAAAGAAGGTGTAGTATATATATATACACGATGCAATATTAGTCATAAAAAGAAATGATGATGTAATGTATGGTGATTAACATAACATAATAAAATAAAAGAAAAAAATGAAATTTTTGCCATTTGCAACAACATGGATGGATCTAGAGGGCATTATGCTAAATGAAATGTCAGTTAGTGAAAGACAAATACCATATGATTTTACTCATGTGGAATTTAAGAAACAAAACAAATGAACAAATAAAAAAAAGAGACAGACAAAAAACCCCACATTCACAAGTAGGGAACAAACCTGTGCCTGCCAGAGAGGAAGTAGGTAAGGGGATGGGTGAAATAGGTAAAGGAGATTAAGAGTACACTTACGATGAACACTGAGTACTGTATGGAGTTGTTGAATCATTATACTATATAGCTGAAACTAATATAACACTGAATGTCAATTACACTTGAATAAAATAAAAGAATCAAACAGGTGGTGAATCTGAGCATTTGCCCTAAGTTCTGGTTGATAGTCTTCCCCTTTATCTACTGTCTGAAGGGCAAGAAGTAAATGGGATAACGTGGCAAGTATAGGTATGGGTCAGCTGCTATCAGAGAGCTCGAATATACAATGAAAAAAACAATCAGGCTTATGGTCTCAGAAGTAAGAGATTTTAGAATCCAGAGGGTAAATTATTTGGAACCGGAGAAAATGTAGTTACTATAATTGTATTAGGGCACTGTTGGCAAAATATTTCATTAAATGCCGTGAAGGCTTATCTCTGCTAATTGCATGGTAAATCCTCTGTTTAGAGAGACCACCAAGCTAGTAACAATTCTGACACTTCATGATTAGGGACATTTAAAAATCACTTAAAGTGGTGTGTCCCAAAAACTGCCTGGAAAACTTATTAGAAATGCGAATCGCAGGGCCTTATCCAATAAGATTGGGAGTGAATAGGGAATGGTCACTTTAATCCAACATCCCAGGCAATGTTGATACAGGACATTCAAGATCACTCTTGGGAAACAGTGACTTAATAGGATTTTCTGGCACAAGACCTTTTGAAATTCCTTGGCATTTATGAAGGCAAACACCTATTCATAATTCTATATTCCTCTATCTCCCAAACTCAACCATCGTTATCATGCAGCTGGAGTAGATGGTTTTACATTATACACTTTTCTTGCTGAAAATCTCACTTTTATTCCAGAATGCATCATGGAAAAGGGGATTAATTTCATTTCTGGCTTTATCAACTAAGAATAAAACATATGACACTCTAGCAACCTCAAACCTTTCTAGGAAAGGTATGGAAAACACAAAACACACACACACACACATTAAAAGATCTTTCCAGAGAATTTTTATACTTTTAATCTAGGGAATCCTATAAAGACAAGGATTATTTTTGTGAATCAAACTCATGTCAACATGGGCAGCTAGATGCAAAGAGGTCAATAGACAATGCAAAATCAAGGCACTTTTGCAGAATCCTCTACCTTGGGTGCAAAAGGAAAAAGGAGGCTAGAGGTGTAAGGAGGGCTACATCACTGCCACAAAGAGAAAGACCTGAGGCCCATGTGCCACTTGAAGTCAGCATTTCAAGGTGAAGGATACAGGCTGGTTGCTTGGCAACTGCATGTTCTTCCTTCCCCATACCCTTCAAGTGGCATGTGTTCTTTTGTGAGCTTCTTTCCCATCCTTTCTCCCGTCTACCAGACCAATCATTTAGAAATCTGTGCTCCACAGAAACTCTAATAATAGTAGGGCAAATATCACAACTTCTATAGTGATCTTTTTGTTCAGGGAAATAAAGTAGAAGTCTTTGTTCACTTATGTAAGGACAGCTACAGTAGAATCCATTCTTTAAATGAGTATTGTATTCAGTTCTGGCCACAATAGTTTATTTAAGAGGAATAGTGACAAACTAAAAGAGGAAGATGAGGAGTTCTTAAAAATATTTTAAATATGAGAAATGTCTGAGAAAGCAAATATGGGAAAGGTCTGAGAAAATATCTATGTATATATATACTATACACATTTAGTCTTAAAATTTTTATTATGACATGCAATATTTTAAGAATTCTAAGAGGCACATCTTTTCACACTTTAACATCTCTGTGATCATTTAAATGACAGCAATTCATATTAAAAGGTAGTACAGCATCAGTATCATTGAAGCCTCTATGTGTCTCTTCTGGGTCACATTCTACTCTCTGACTCCTAGGGGTAACCATTACCTTTATTTTTACATTTATCATGCCATTTTTTTTACTATAATCATATTTTATATGTATGTATATTTGCCTATATATTTTTGTTTTTATGCCTTTGAGACTTTATAATTGATATCATACTACAAATAGTCTTCTATAAGTTTCACTCAACATTGTTTTTGAAATTTGTCCATACTTTATATGGTTTAATCATTTTCACTACTGTTCAGTTTTCCATTATATGAATATATCAAATTTACCCATTTTCAAATGAGGACTTTTGGGTTGCTTCCAGTTTTTTTGCTACTATAAACAATACTGCAGTAAAAATTCTTGCGTATGTTAAAATCCATTGATTTATAGGAGACTTTTTATAGGTTCTGGACATAATGCCTTGTATTATATGTGCTACAAAGGTCTTCTAGTTTATGGGTTGTCTTGTTTACTTCCTTTATAGTATCATTTTTATTAATGGGAGTTTCTCAATTCTTACACAAATATATGCTCTTTGATTTATGTTGTCTGTGTATATTTTTTTTCTTGTTTAAGTTTCCCTACCCCCAAAGTCAGAAAGAAATCATCCAATGTTTTCTTTTAAATGTTTACATTATTTACTTCTCAAATTTAAATTTTTAATCCAACTGAAATTAATTTTTGAGTTGTGTATGAGAAAGGACTCCAGTGTCACATTTTTCCAGGTGAATAACCAAGTGTCTAGCATATTTGTGAACAGCCTGACTTTCCTTCCCTGATCTGCCCTGCTGTATGGGCATGCATCTTATCCATATCTGCATAAATTTGTTCCTGACCCCTCCAATCTGCTTCATTATTCTCTTCCTTGCTGCTATAACTTCATCATCACTGATGTTTCATAGAAAATCTTGATTCTGGAAGGGCAAGTTCCCCCAATTATCTATTTGAGAGAGTCTTGGCTATTCTTAGATTTTGCTTTTTCACACATATTTTATTTCATTTCATTTTTTTAATCTTTATTTTTAATTTTTTTGTTTCATATTCATTTTTTAAAATTTAAATTCAATTAATTAACATACAGTGTGTTATTAGTTTCAGAGGTACAGGTCAGTGATTCATCAGTTGCTTATAATACCCAGTGCTCATTACATCACATGCCCTCCTTAATGCCCATCACGCAATTACCCCATCCCCCTACCCGGCTCCCCTCCATCAACCCTCAGTTTGTTTCCTATGATTAAGAGTCTCCTACGGTTTGTCTCCCTCTCTGATTTCATCTTGTTTTATTTTTTCCTCTCTTCCCCTATGATCCTCTGTTTTGTTTCTTAAATTCCACATATCAGTGAAATCATATAATTGTCTTTCTCTGATTAACTTATTTCACTTAGCATTATACCCTCTAGTTTCACCCACATCGTTGCAAATGGCAAGATTTCATTCTTTTTGATGGCTGAGTAATATTCCATACACACACACACACACACACCACATCTTTATCCATTCATCTGTCAATGGACATTTGGGCTCCTTCCATAGTTTGGCTATTGTGGACATTGCTGCTATAAACATTGGGGTGCAGGTGCCCCTTCAGAATACTGCAGTTGTATCTTTGGGGTAAATACCAAGTAGTACAATCACTATGTTGTAGGGTAGCTCTATTTTTAACTTTTTGAGGAAACTCCATCCTGTTTCCCAGAGTTTCACACATATGTTAGAATCAACTCATTCAAATCCTCAAAAATACTTCGGTAGGATTTTTATTATTTTTGAATCCATGGGTCTATTAGAATAAAAAGTGTCGTTTTTGTGGTAGTAAATATTCCTATACATGAACATAATATATTTTTTAATTTAGATATTTTCACTATCTCTCAACAAAGTTCTATACGTATCTGCACAGTGGTCCTGCATATTTTTCATGTGATTTATTTTAAGATGACTATTTTTGGCTTTAATGAATTATATCTTTTTAAAAATAATATTTTCTAACTGTCTCTACTGTATATAAGTGTAATTTTTGGTATATTGATATATATCTAGAAACCCTGCTAAAACCTCTTGTTAAATCTAATAATTTATTTGAAAGTCATTATGGATTTTCTATGTAGACAATCATAACTTCTACAAATAATGACATTTTATTTCTTTTTTCCAACCCTTATAACCTTAATTTCTTCTCATCTCGAATGCATTGGTTGGGATCACAATTCAATATTGAAAAGAAAACAATAAACATCCTTGACTTTTTCCTAATTATAAATGAAAATGTTTCTAAAACCTCAGCAGTAACAATAATGCTAGTGCTTATTTTGGGAGATATACCGCAGATGTAAAAAGTTCTTTTCTACTGCTAGTTTGCTAAGACTTTATCATGAAGTGGGCTAAGTTTTACTGAATGTTTTTATGCCTCTATTGAGATGACTGTATGGCTCTTCCATACAGTCATCCATAAGTAATTTTTAGTAATATATTATGTAATGTAGTAATATATTATGTAATATAGTATATATTATGTAAAATAGTAATATATTACTTCTATAAGTAATATATTAACATGCTGAATTTATAGGAGATTTTTCTACTTATAAATCAACATTGCAATTCCTGCAATA